TCTTTGCGTTTTAAACCAGTCACTGCAACAGTAGAGCCAACTACCACAACCATTACACCATGGCGCTGCCCACGTAATACATGGTTATCATTAAATATGATGTTATCAATTAAGTTAATACAATAAATAAAATGGGGTAAACTTTTCAAACTAATTAATTTTAATAAAAAAAAAACTAATTGTGTACTTTAAAGAATTAAATGCTGAAATATTTAGAAGAAAATTGGTGACGAATAGAATTACTTTAAATATTGGCATGCAAAATAATATTTTAATTTTATCATAAGTTCAAAGTTCAATTAAATCAATAAGATGAAAATATATAGACAAATAAATTAACAAATAAATAAATAACTAAATAAATTAATTAATTAACGAACAAAGAATTTGAATAAATATAAATTAATGAGACAGAAACGGTAAGAAGGTTGAAACAAAATTGGCAAAAATGACACTAAAAACAACTCGCAACAACAACAACAACAACACAACAACACAGCAGCAACAAAACAATACAACTCCTCAACAACAACAACGGAGCGCGACAACAGAACGAACCATGAGAGCATCTTCGACATCGTCTGCATCATAATCAATGTCATCGACAATTGGTCGACCGTCGACTGCGGTGTTGTTGCGTGTTTGTTGTTGCGTGTGTTTGTTGTTGCGTGTGTTTGTTGTTGCGTGTGTTTGTTGTTGATGTCGTGATTAATTTGTTTGTGTATTGCTCTAATTTTGTTATTTGTAACAACGTTACCAGCGTGAAAAAATTAAAAAGAATAATTAATGATGATATTAAACTTGAAAATTTGAAGCTGCATTCACAAAGATAATAATCGCAACAATAAGATATTAGAGCATACAAAAAATGAACGAACAATTAAAAAAACAATTAACCAGCCAGCCAACCAACCAACCAATCAGCAAACCAATCAATCAACCAACCAACCAACCTACCAATTAACCCAATCAATCAACAAACCAACCAGTCAACCAACCAAACCAGCCAACCAACCTACCAATCAACTAACTAAACCGACCAACCAACCGACCAGCCAAACCAACCAACCAGCCAACCGACCAACCAACCTGCATTACTTTTAAACGCTCCTTTGATCCTGGTACCGAACTTCATGAGTGACCCACTGGTTGCCAGTCTCTTCATGGACTTGCTGTC